TAAGCAGCGTGGGCCTGCTCCATTGCCTATACAGTGGGTTGTCAGAAAAGTCATGGTACCTTATTTTTTATTATTATTTTTTTGCTATAGGGTGTGTGTGCTCGCCAGAAAGACAGAAAGAGACAGAGAGACAGAAAGCAAGAAATCACCCCCAGGGAAGATGGCCATGCCGCAATCCCTTCTCCTCCATTCTCCTCTCGGGATCTTGGGCACGCATGCACACGCACCCGGCATGAGCTTAAGCCACTAGGTCCAGGACTCAAACTGCAGTCAACTACATGGGATTTTCAGTAACGTAGCCATTACACCATCTGCTGGTCCCCCATGGTGCATTTTTACATAGAAAAACAGAAAAGTACGTCATGAATTTTCCGATGACCCCATACTTACTATACACAGCCTCTGGTCAAGCAGGACCAGTAGAGAGCTTATCAAGCCCCCATGGCTGTCTCCCCTCCCAGAAGTCCCAACTGTCATCTGCTCTGTGCCCCACACAGGACTGCAACTGGACCACCAGACGGCTGGCCTTCCCTGTTCTCTTGCCACCAAGAAAGCCACTCCAGCTGACAATGCATCATAGCCAAGGAGCCCCAGCAGACAGTGACAGTGAAGTTAACAGTCTCCATGGCCTGCCCCCCGGTCCCCAAGTTGGACCACCATGCTGACAGGCTGAGGGAAGGGGGATTTGCAGAAGCCCAGGTGAGCAGGCCACAGACTCCAGTTCCAGTAGTTTTCATGGTAAGTGCTGTCTGGTGTGGACCTTTGGTGATTCTGAGTGCTAACACAGCAGCAGACGGGTTGGTCCAGCTTTACAGTATTTTTTTTTTTTAAGAATTTTAAATTAAATTTTATTATTATTATTTAATTTGACAAGAGAGAGAGAGAGAAAGGGAGAAACCAAGCCACCAGGTCTAGGATTTGAACCATGGTCAAGCATGTGGGAGTCCAGCGCCCCTAACCACCACGCCACCTGCTGGCCCCTACGGTTGTTTCTCCATTATAGAAAAATAAACATAAAAATGACCATTTTGGGGGGGGTCAGCAGGTGGCATAGTGGTTAAAGCGCTGGACTCCCACATGGCCGTCTATGGTGGAGTCCCAGACTTGGTGACTTGAAACTCACATTGGGTGCGTGTGCATGTGTGCCCAAAATCCACAGAGGGGAATGGAGGAGAAGGGATTGCAGCATGGCCATCTCTCCTAGGGGGGTGATTTCTTGTTTTCTGTCTCTCCGTGTGTCTCTGGTGAGTGCACATGCCCTGTAGCAATAAAAATAAAAGAGGGATGGTAGGTGATGTAGTGGTTGAAGGCCCTGGACTCCCTCATGGCTAACTATGGTTCAAGTCCTGAACCTGGCAGTTTGCTTTCTCACTTTCCCTCTCTTTCTCACTCTATCCCTCTCTGGTCAAATAAAAATAAATACATAAATAAAGATAAACAAAATAATTCTTTTAAAAAAAAGGAAAGATGGGAACCAGCAGGTGGTGTGGTGGTTAAGACGCTGGACACTCCCACATGGCCGACCATGGTTCGAATACCAGACCTAGTGGCTTGCTTTCTTACTTTCCCTCTCTTCTCTCTGTGCATCTCTCTCTGTCAAATTAAAATAAATGAATGGATAAATAAAATTAAATAAATAATTATTTAAAAAATAAAAGAAAATGCCACTGTCTACGGAGAACTTACTGTGTTGTTCAGTTCAGTAAGAATCTCTTCATAACCTTATCTGACGGGGCCATGCAGACAACACAAGCTGGTAAAGAGGCTGCCTCCCATACCTAAGGC